TCAGCTGTGTGGCGGCTGAATCCGCCAAAGGGTGCTGGCCAGCAGGCAGCATCGTGGTTAAAGCTCTGGGCTCCCACCTGGCCAACTGGGGTTTGAAGACCAGACCCCGTGGCTTAAAAATCACTCTGGGTACATGTATGTGCATGCCCCACAACCCTGAGAGGATAGAGGAGAAAGGACCGCACCATGACCACCGCATCCAGGAAGTGATTTCTCACCTTCCCTGTCTCTCTGGCAAGTGCACACACCCTATGGCAGAGACCTAAAGCGAAAAACCCTCCGGAGGGTGGTGGAGAAAGAATAGACCAGGCCGGCTCAAGGGGAGGCCAAACCATCCTGGTAAAACAGGCCGTTCCCGAGGACGGCAGTGAGGTTGTGGGCACGCATCCTGGTGAAGGTCCTGTGAGGAGGCCCTGTGAGACGACCTGGAGCAGGTGGGAGTATGCAGCGTGTCACGGAGCTGCGCAGAGCACGTGCAATGACCTGCCTCCCCCAGGGACAGTGCACTCCGTGGACGAGAAGGGCAGGACCAGCCCGCTGGCGTCCGTGGACGGCCCGCTCCAGGCGCTGTTCTGCATCGAGAAGAGAGAAGCTCTGGTGGTGGTCACGGAGAGCCTCCTGCTGTCCCTGTACGCGGTAACTGCCGAGGGCGAAGCCAGAGAGGTGATGAAGGTAGGGACAGGCTGCGGGGAGCCCCGGGACCCTGCGCCAAGGGCCCCCCTCCAGCCACGTCCACTGCCCTGCATTGTGAGCAGCAGGACTGAAGCCGCACCTCACAGGGTCGTTGGCAACGGCAGCCCTTGCGTCCCTATGCACTCAAGTAGCCCTGGGGTGGGTAGGAGAGGAGGCTGCCGGCTGTAGCTATGGGCAAGAGCCTGGCCTGCTTGCAGGAGCCTCTGGGCGGGCCGCCCAGGAGCCGGCAGACCCCACCACATGGCAGCCTCGCTGGTGCAGGTGGCCTGGCCCCTCCCGACTGTCCAGGGGCTACTTTCTCGCCGCTGGGTCTCAGCCCGCTGCTCATCCCTCCTGCACACTGTCGCACCTGCTGGGTAGGAGCTTGGCCTCCCTGGGCAGTGGGCAAGTATTAACAGAGCTCTGGAAAGATGCCATGATGCCCTCCAGAGCCCCTCGTGGCAGCCTCGGCTCTGGGCCCTCATGGTGGCCACTGGTCCCTGAGGAAGAAGCCTCGCTGTCCTCCCATCAGCTTATGGTTGTGCGGGGAACCCAGGCTCCTTGGAGGCGGTAGGGCTGTCCCTGCTGACCTCCCCAGTGACAGGCTGAGCCCTCTCTAAGTTGGTGCATCTGGTCGTAGGTGCATCCTGTGATGGCGTCAAAAGCTTGGCCCTGGGCCATGGGGACTGGCCACCCAGTCATGCTGCCGTCACACGCTGCCACTCCCAGGGGCTCAGCGGCAGGGCGGGGC